TCCTTGAAGAAAGGGTCTAGAATTTTTTCAAGGTGATATTCTTGTAGAGCTCGTCGAGCTCTATCGAATGATGTGTGTTTAAAGCAAATCTATCAACTGCTCGAAGTTTGAATTTGGCGCACCTTACTTAGCCAAAAAACAGTGATAAACCAGTTATTTTGATTTGATCCTTTGCGAATAATATTGTTAAAAATATTTGTTACATTGTACCTATACCAGGCCCCTGCTGGGCAAAACGTTGCATTAAAACCAACTTGGACAATACAAAATGAATAAGTAGACTGACGTGAGCGAACAGTCTGAACTTCATATTTGCCACGATTTTGATATTTTCTGAAAGCAATGATATTTGATACAATCAAATACTCCGTACAACTCACATTAAATAGTAAAGTAGATATTGAAAAGAGTATACGTAAAATTCTGATACACCAAGCCATTTGATGAAAACCCCAGGGATTACAATACACTCAAAATTTATCTTTCGTTCGCAGTCTAAAGAAGTAAACGAAACAACCAAGAGATATTCAACATCACAAATTTCGACAGAAGGAGCAGAAAGATTTTCTTTCGTTATCTCGTTATCTAATAGGGTTATTACCGGGGTAGAAAGCAGCGAAACACGACTATTTGCTCTGATATTCTGCTGCTTTTACAATAACTACTTCTAGGTAACATGAGAATATTACGCAGCGAGAATAATCGCAAGAAAGCTCCAACACGTATGTGCGTAGGCCTAGGGGGAAACAGCGGACTTTCAGACTTCAACGGACTTCAAAAGAATTCGCGAGACTTTCCCAGACGGGGATGTAATGAATCTGACAGATGTGTTTAATCGACTTTTTATTCGTTCTGATCCAGCCATAAGAAAAATAATTACTGATTCATTTGCAAAACACTACATACACTCACAAGCACCAACGACTACATCACAATCATTAAATGAAGATGACCACATACTACATAGTGTATTTTTACAGAAATAAGTCGCTATATTTTACATTGCATATGTATATATATTAAGACGGTCTTGTACATTTTTAGTATTGGCCAAAAAATTAAAAAAAGCACCTATCTACTAATCCTGCCGGAATTCGGAAAACAATATAAAAAAGATGATGTTAAAATTTTCTATTTTTCTGAAACTTTAATATCTCCAGAAGAGAAAATTATTTTGAACTGAAACTTTCAGAACTTTCTACTGACTAACAGACGTCTTCAGACAGGTCGAAATACCGTCAGTCGATTTGATGATATATCCCATGTGTGACGCTAAAGTTCGAATAAAATGGCGATAACTCCGGATGGAAGGTCTATGGGCACGTGCCATTTCCGGGCTTTTTCATATCGCACTGGGGTTTATCTTATGCAGGACTCTAAAGCGATTTATTAGTTGAATCGGTTCCCTCGTTAGTGTTCCCCAAAAGTTCCAGACTTCATGAGACTTCATCGGACTTCCCATTATTTAGGAGACCTCATAAGACTTTTGAAGACTTCTAAAAATTTCGAAAGACTTCAGAATTTCATCGGACTTCATAAGCGAAGTCCGAGTTGTTCCCCCTAGCCTTTATGCTTCCTCAGCGGATTGTAAAATATTTATAACTCATTCTGGTCTATTATATATAAAAGATTACTCTGCGTAGTATCGAATTAAAAGTGCTTTGATTTATTTTGGAACTTATAATCCTCAAATGTTTCTTAGGGTAATTGTTGAGTTTATGCAGAATTAAAGCTACTTGAATAACGCCTTGAGAAAGCACGAAATTGGTCATAATATATTTTTATGTGTATATCATAATGAGCGTCATAATAAAGGACTTATTTACATAAACTTGAAATGAAATACTTATCATGTTTGTAGAAAGAGATAGCGCTTATTATGATATAAGGCTTTATATTAAACAGTGGGTGAGTAACGAATTAGTTTACTTTCTTATTGCAAATTGAAAAAACCTATATAATGATTGCGTCATCCTTACTCATCATTGTATGGGTTTTTTCCCTCTATATGTTACACTATGAAGTAACCCAACATTTCCTTTACTCAAAAATAATTCAGTAGATCCGTCATATTTTAATTAGAGGAGCTGACTCTTATACTATTGATAATAGAATATTCAGAGTCTATATAACTCTACCTGAAAGAAACGACACGTCTAATTGTTTTTCCAATAGTTCAAAAGCCAATGCGCCATACATGCGTTTGATACATATATGGCGCATTGGTTTGGAACCCAGATAATGATTGCGTCACGCTTACTCATCATTGTCTGGGGTTTTGCCCTTTATATGTCTAAGGCTTCGTTTCTATAAATATATGTATACATAGGGAGATGTGTGGACAAAATGTCTAAAGACGAATTGACGAATCGCAATTTTTAACCGTAAAAATGATGCCACAATTCGCATTTTTCGCTTATTTTAAGTGAATTGATGCGAACTGTATCGAATTAGTACGGATACTCCTATATGCTTGAAGATATCTTTTTTTTCTTTTTCTTATTATTTCAGACGAGACGAAAAAGCAATGGTGTACAAGACACTTATTTCTGAAAGTGATGGTGTAGAGACCACTTTTATACTCGAACGCTTTGCAGTTTATATCTGCGTTTTAACTTTTCTAAAGCAGAATTAAAGCAAAAATATGACTACCCAGTGAAAAAAAACGAGCGTGATTCCGCAAGTTCCTGGGGGAAAAATGAAACATTTTCACGCGGGAAGTGAAAGTCTTCTGCAGGAAAAGAAGCACTTTTCCCGCCGCATTCTGCAGG